GTAGCTCCATAAAAAAACAGTCCATTATCTTTCAGGAAAATATAATATAAAAGAGACACTACAAAAGGTGTTATCATTGTGCTTGTGTGTTAGCAAAACATAGTTAAAGGTCACCAGCACTTGGTTAGGCAAACAAGAGATCCTGAGCATCAAAGAGATCTTATATAGTGGAATATATGTCGTAGTAAAGCTTCCAAGCCCCTCAGTGGCTCAGCTGAACCACAGTGAGACACGCACCAGAAACCCTCGAAGACAAGGAAGGGAGACTGCAGGGCACAGGATGCTCCAGAGGAAGCAGGCATCACTTCCCATGAGTGAAAAGAAAGCAGAGCCCCTTTCTCATCTGCCAAACTGACCCTCATTGAGATGGCAGCTAATCTCCATGGCTGGCTTCCACTCGCCATTCTTACACGTCAGGTATTTGTAATCACCCTTCAACATGTAGCCTTCAGCACACAGGTACTCGATGACACTGCCAGAGTTCAGGGGGTCTCTGCAGGGCCGGGGGTGGCAGACAAAGCCACCATTTTCTGGCTCCGGGGGCAGGGAACACACTGTAAAGACAAAGAGAGAGAGATGGTACAGCGGTGAGGTTTTTCGGTGGGGGCCCTGTCAGTGACTCAGAGGACAATTCTGAAAGCCTCAACAAGAAACCACGAGGAGCACAAGGCCAGCCTCTCAGAAAGCCCGCTGGCAAACCCTGGAAGTTCAGGTTGCCACAGAGAGAGAAGTGGGCTGGCAACCGGGGAAGTTTGGCTGCTTGCAACATTTCCCCTTCCTCTCCCCACTGCTCCTTAAGAGAACTGCATCCACAATTGAATAGTAGACTCTGACAAAGTCCTAAACTTACAGGGATCTAGCACAAAACATGGTTTTAATAACACCTAATGAAACACAATGAGTCAGTAAAGATGGTAAAATACTCTTTACTTGCATGGAGGAAATCTTAGCCTTTTTTCCAGTATCAGTACCAGAAAAGACTCCGCCAAGCAATAAAAATGAGCCTTCTGGTCACAGAGGGGGTCTCTGATGGATTTTAGGGAGCACCTCCCTTTTCCTGACTAGAGCAGTCACTGGCATCACTTGTCACATTTTCATCTGAGTAGGACCGCCTAGTTTTAAAAGCACCTTCATCTCATATCTTATTTATCAGTTATGATAACTCTGTAAAGTAGTAATCATGACTCCTCTTTGAAGATGAGGACCCCGAGGCCCATAAAAGTTAAATGACTTTTAGCCACAAGTAAGGCAGAATAAATGGCAGACCTGAGAGCAAAGTCTTCTGGTTCTAATACCTGTGCTCTTTCCACCAGCAGACACTGCTTCTACCTCATGAACTGAGTGGGCCTTTATGAAGTATGTGTACCAAGGTCACCTCCCATTCAGACAGGTCAGTCAGGAGATGGCAAGTGGTGCCTAAGTGTGGTGAGGACCCCAGTGGAAATGAGTTGCAGTAATGCTAAGTCAGTGGAGCTGGAAAGTCTGAGCAGCCCTAGGGAGTGGGCAGCCTCTGATTCCATGGCCTGCCCTTCCAGCCCTGGACAGATATTGCAGAACTGAAGTCCCTAGGCATTGGATTGTGGTGTGTACTTAGCCAAAATAAGAGGGACACAGTGTGGGCACTAAGGGATCACTGTTTGGAAGGACAAGCTGGGGAAGAAGACGTGCTGGCAAGATGGCCAGGCACCCACGAACTTCAACTTTCCAAAGCCTCACTAAAACAAGAGTTCTCACCCACAGGACATTCATTTGGCTGACAAACACCCTGCCCCCATCCTGAATACCACAAGGACATCAGTATGAGAATAAAAACTGTGGGTTTCTTTTTTTCACTTCCTCTAACAGATCTAGAGTCTCTATCTGTCCCAGATAAGGTGTTTTCCCATTCAGAGGCCTACCCACCACTCTCTCAGAGGTGCCCTTACAGGCTCTCACCAAATTCCACTTCCCTTTAACCTACAAACTGCTATTAAGCAAACTGACTGCTGGTCAGTCTGGGCAGGGGACGGGTACCAAGTCTAAAAGGAGATGATGGCTCCTTGCCCTCAAGCTGCTTATCACTAAGATGGGAAGAAAAGACTCCATTTTTAAAGAGCTATTAATGAAACAAAGCTGGGGTAGGTGCCATAGGGATCCACAGAAGTCTGGGCAGCTTCTCTGAAACTAGTACATGAGCCCAAATAAATCTCCTCAGTCCCCTCTAAGGCTACACCTTCTCCGTACTGTTCCCACACCACCCACCTCGCCCGAAGTCTTGAACAGGAGGGAGACAGATGCAAAGAGGCACTCCTTCTGGTGCCTCTTTAAACTTAGCCAAGTAGTTCAAAGAGCTGGCCAGCTGAATTTCCAAAGGCACCTCAGCAAACTGCTTCACCCTTTACACTTTCCCTCCTTTGTTCAGGGCAACAAGCCTGCCACAGATCCTCCTGGCTCCCCTCCGACTGTGTCTAATTGGTTCATTTCCTCAGCATAATTAATGCTGAGCACCCCAGGGCAGCTCCTGAAAGCAGGCAGGACCCACACACAGGTCCAGCGTGCTGGGAAAGATGGTCTCTCAGGGGAAGAGCTGCTGAGTCTAAAGCCACTCCTGCTTTGCTGGGAATTTCTGCCCATAAAGCCACATCTTCACAGAATCTTTGAGCGGGACCCTGAAGGTCACCCAGCATTCATTTTATAAATGAAAAAAGTGAGGTCTACAAAGAAGTGACCCACAATTCAATTTCATTTCAACTAATATTTATTGATTATTGTGTAGGGGTCACTGTGCCATGCTCTGAAAAAAGATAAAAAGACAAGCACTTCAGGTATTGTAGGCAAGCAGGAATCTGACAAATAAGTATACGTATATATTTTAAAAGTCATTTTCTTTATGGCTCCTGGGATTTGTGTTTTGTTTAACGACAGTTTCCCTACTGAGGTTACAAGATTGTCTCTAATGTTTTCTTATATAACATTTTATAGATTGGTTGTTATGTAAATAATACTTTTACAAAAAAAAAATCATAGGAAGTATACATACATGGTATAAAACTCAAAAACTACGAGGGGTGTACAGTCAAAAGCAAGCCCTCTCATATCCCCTAGTAGCTCAGTTCCTCCTCCAAAGGCACCACACCAGTTTCTCCCATGTTCTTCCAAAGATATTCTACACACAGATTTATTCTAAGGCATGTCAAAGAATGCGAATGGTGCCACAAGAGAGGGAGCTCAGAACAGGAGCGATCACATCTCGTGTGGGAGAGATGAGGAAAGGCTCATAGAAGAAGCAGCATTTCAAATGGGGCTTCCGTCCTTAAGAAAGGAGGTGGTACTCTGAAGCAAATGCACCGCAGTAGGAAAGAACAGGTTAAGTCCAGAGAACATCAAGTAGCCCAGGTTAGCTGGGTTGTGAAATATGATAAAGAAAATTTGCTCCTCCAAAATATGAAGAGCAATTAAACCATCTTGTAGAGGGCCTTGACTGCAACAGGAAGTTCAAAGGAAAAGGAGAGCCTCTGAAGGGTCTTGAGAAGGGCAGAATTATAAGAGAAACTGAAATTGATATAAGATGGAGCAGAGGTAGAGAGAGCCTTTATAGTATGTCAACTGTATAGCAACTCTAGTATGGTAAAATAAACTGTACAAAGTTCTTTTATGTTGATCCATGAAGATCGCACAAAGGAAACAAGCTAGAGTACATCAGGTTCAGCATAGCAAAAAGGTGGCCTCCAGTTCATGGAAAAAAATAAAGAGGACTTAGAAGGAAAAGAGCAAGATCATATTTATACACCAAGAACACAAGAAAAAAAATATGGCCCTCTTGCTTAGTCAAAGAGCAGAGTGGGAGAGTCTTGGCAAAGGACAGGTGTCGGAGAGGACCCTTTCAGTGACTTCTGGGTTTAACAGGAAAGGGTCGATCTGGAAGAGCAAATAATTCATCCGATGGCTTCCAGAAGCCACTGTTCTAGCAAGAGGCTGACTTAATCTGGCAGCAGGCTAGCTAGCTCTCTGACAACCCCAGGTCTGCAGAGGGAGTTTCGAGCTCTGTTCTAAACCCCAAGAAGAAAATGAACTCATCTGATTTGGCAAAGCTGCATAATTTAAAAAGAGAGGGAGAGAGCCAGAAGATAAAAATTTTACAAAAAAAAAAATCAATTCTCCTTAGTTTTCTTTTCAGTTTTTCATTATCTCTTAGTCACTTAGGCCTCCAGAGAGCACAGGAAGCTGAGAGATAATTCTTCAGGGGCCCGGAAGAGTGCCTGGTACACAGCAGTCATTCAGTGATAGACTACCCAACCAGCTGTTGAGGGTGCAGACGGAGGAAAAGCGATACGATCCGGCTGATACTTCCACCTCAGTGTCACCACAGCCTCAGCAGAAACGACAAGAACCCTCAATCAGCTCCTCAAACATTTTTTTGCATCTGTTATTTTGGAGACCAGCCTTTTAGGAGGAGGAGACAAATTAAAACAAAACACATTTTCATAAGATTCTATAAAAAGCAAATCAAAACAAGTTCCAGGAAAGGCCTCAGGGTCACAGTATTCAGTTTAACAAACTGAACAATTACTTGAGCCCCTTCAAAATGAGGTGTGGCGAGTAGAGAGTAGGGTGTGTGGGGACCAGCCTGAGGAGGGGAAGCAGATGTTTGAATACCTAGTGCCTTTTTAAAAGACTCAAAAGAGATTTCTGGCTGAAACAGTCATCTAGTTATCAAGAACACAGGACACTCTGGAACACAGTGACTGAGGGCTTAAGAAATTGTGTTAGTATTCACTCACAGGTTTGAAATAGTGTAGTTCTAGACAAAACAGTGCAGTAGAACTCAACTGGGCACAGAGGAACAGGTATTTAATGAGGGGGCTGAAAGAACAGTTGGCTGGAGAAAGAATTCCTAGGAATTTAAGGAAGAAGAAAGAGGTTCCCCAAACCCATCATGAGTTTTGTCATCATCAGAGACAGAGGCAGTATTGTAAATGTCCTTATTTGGTTGTAATTCCATCAAATGATTAAAGCAACCCTCCACACAAGACACCCTAAGAAGACCTTAAAACTCAATGTGAAAGGACTATGCCCCCCAAATCTTTCAATCTAGGGAGGACAAAGCCATGCACACAGCCAAATCCAATGTACATGAAAAAAGGAAATGTTCGAAGGTGCACTTTTCTATTGGCCTGGGGTGTCCTGGGCAGAGACATCTCATTCATCTGAGCACTGCTGGCAACGAGAGGAAGGTGAGAGCCTCTGGGCAAAGAAGAGAAACAAAGCAAAAAAAAAGGAGTGGAGGAAGCAACGGACAAAACCATATATCTAGCACAGCACTGTCCAATGGAAATATAATGGGACCGCAGAGGCCATTTTAAATTTTCTAGTAGCCACATGAAAAAAAGTAAAAGGAAACAGGTGAAATTTATTTTAATATATTTTATTTAACTGACTATATGTGAAAGATTATTGATTACATCTCGACATGCAATAGATGTAAACATTTATTAACGAGATATTTTGTATCTCTTTTTTCTTAGTAAGTCTTTACACTTAAATAGCACATCTCAAGTCACACTAATCACATTTC